ATTGTACCTTAATAGTGATTTAGGGACACAGGTTACAAAACATCTGCAAAAGAAGTTTTGGGTTTGATTGTCCTTTCTTCTCTATAAAGCTGCCCTAAACTGGTGGCTAAGTGTTTGTTATAGATATGTGCACCTGTATCTTATCAACAGGTCAATTTGTAGAACTGGTCTATTTGTAGAATTGCGTTGATGCTGCCAATGTGCACAACTGATGCTGGCAGAGGAATTGAGTTACTAGAGAATTGGTATTGCCGTTTCCAAGATGAGATTTATAAAAACATAAATGCCTTCTATAAACTTGAACGTTTCATTTTGCAGTGGTAATGCACTGCTGCTTGCTTCCAGGTCTTTTACGGCGTTGTGATGGTGAACAGAATGAAAGGGGCTATTGAGTAAAACAAAAACCACATTCAATAGCAGAATATTTTTTAATACTAACCATATGTTGCAGTGTATCCAATTCTTGGGGGTTTTAAAAAAAGTATACATACTTTTTTTTAATTCTAAATGCTACTTTAGTATTTAGAACTGTTTGGATGTTTTTAATTGGATTTACGTTTCTATTTCACTTTAGAGGATCTTTCTGCTATGCCTTTCTTTTGAGAACAGCGTCCTGTGGCTTTTTGCGTGGTTCATGTCCATGGCCTTTTGTAAAGGGCTAACAATTAGTACTTCCATTACCTGCCTCCCCTGTGGTGGTCATTTGCCCATTTCCAGGAAGGCCCTCTTCAGCTTGTGTGATTTTTGGGTATAATTTCCATTAAGTTATATGTAAGAAGCAGTAAAGGAAGATAATAGTGCTCTTCACTGCTTTCTGTAAAAATAAGGTCCATCTGTGTGAGACGCTCCTCTTAGCAGACCGTACAAAAGTATAAGTAGGCTACTGCTGTAAGCTGGAACTTGATGGCGACGGAGCTAATGGTACAAAACGAAGAACTAGGATGGAGTGCATGAATTACACAGATTATCTGAGAGAATGTACCTGTGGATGTCTGTCAGTCATGTGCTATACAGATTTCTTTAAATGTGGCTGTACTTGACCTTTTGGACAATAATTATTGGGCCTGTCAATCTGCTTTGTGCACCTGTCTTATTTTCATTAATCTTGGGCAGGCCTTGAACTAATTTCCTTTATCTAAAGGAAACACACCGTAGTTATTTCTGGAAAGCTCAAAAAAAAATAATTCCAGGACTTTAACGAAGAGAGTCCCCCTCAACTTCCCTCCCTCCTAACGCTGTCCTCCAAGCACCTTGTAGTTCAGTGGGCCAGAAGACACGTTAAGCACACTTAAGCAGTAGTTACATTCACAATGTTTAATCAAGTAGAGAGAATTTGAAAGCAGCACACTAATTTTTGCAATCGTTTATATATTTATGACTTCTTTAGGAAATGGTGACTATAAAATGCTATCTATTTAATTGCTTTTCCCTATTAAAATTCAGTACAAGTCCACCCACAACTAGTTGTACTTGGTCTCTGTCCTGAAGTTATTTCTTGCCTGCTTCGTGTCTTGCCGTCCACACCAGAAAGCAGGTGTAGAAAAAAAGCTTTATAAGGTAGGCAAATAGCCCATACTGTTGAGTTGAAACTTGCTTTGATGTGAAGCTTAATAGACAGTACATAGGAATCATGAAAACTGAGAATTGAACAGTGCAAAACTTTGGTTTATTTACTTTGGAATGCAACAATGTTGTTTACCTTAGAATGTAACACTATTTACCAGTGGACTTGTTTAAAAACAATATTGGTTGCAATAGGCTTCACTGTGGATTCACAGAATAAACATTTGTATGCAAGGACAATAGTTTTGTGCTTGCATGTTTCAAAATATATTGCATCAATGGAGAAAATAATTTTATGATGCTGTTAGTCTGTACTAATTGCATTTATTATGGATTATGCATTGAAGAAGGAGCTGCCTGCTGGAGTCTGTCACGCAGTTTGCTTTTCAAGCAGTCGCTCACTTTGTCATTTATAATTAACATAGCTATGCAAATACATTGTCTGATTCTCTTCTTCTTTGTGTTCTTGAGCTGGTTTTTTTGGAAGAAAGGTATGGCCATGGGAACCAATTAACAGACCTAAATTTGCATATTCAACCTACCGCAGGGAGACTTGCTGACAAGAGTGTTGGAGGCAAATGGCTGCTGTTCTCAGCCTCTCTTCTCACTGCTGTCGTTACTTTCTTTCTCTTTGGATGCCTGGCTCAGCCTTTTATCATCAGAATTATTAAGCTGGGCATGTATGCCTGCTGCTCTTGGTGGTGCTGGCTAGTTCCTGCCCTCGCATTTGAGGAAACTGATACTGACCTGGTGATCCTTAAGGACTTGGGATAGTAAGGAAATCCGTATGTATAATG